AAAAAAGCAGCCAGCACCAGTAACAGCAGCAGTAACAGCAGCAGCAGTAACAGCAACAGCAGCAGCAGCATTACTGTGTGTTACTGTACTGTGCATGCAAACACCCAGGAGTGGGGGGGGGGGGGGGGGGGGCACATGAATAATGGATGCCGTCACATACTGATGGACGCGCAGATGAGAAGGGACAGTGTAAACAAGCATTAGCTTCTAGTTCATTTGACTGGGAGAGAGAGAGAGAGAGAGTGGGAGAGGGCGAGAGGGAGAGAGAGAAGGACAGAGAGAGAGAGAGAGAGGGAGAGAGAGAGAGGCAGTGAGGCGATGAAGCTGGCTGCCATGGGAGAATCCATCTGCAGGCTATATATACACACCTGTGATGTCAACTGAGAGACAGAGACAAAGGTGGGGGGTGGGGGGGGCTAAAGTGTGCCCCAAGTAGGGTGGGGTGGGGGCAAAAAAGAGAAGAGCAGAGGAAGACTACAGCGACAACACAGACTCTGTGTGTTCTGATATTTGTTAAAGGCAGAGAAGCCAAATGATTGGCTAAAAAAACAAGGACATTTAATCAAATCTCAGTTTCCTCATTTCTGGCCGCACTACACACTACAGCCCTGTAGGTGGCAGTAAGAGACCTGTGGTTCTTCTGCCAGCCTAAAAAAGGTTGTGTCGTGTAAAAAGAATGAAGTTTGTGTTCACGACATATTTTCTGACTAAATGTATTAGAATATATATTAGTAATAAAGAAACCTCACGTTGACACCTAACTGTTAGCATGTAGCATAGCTTCTTCTTTTAGAACCTCTCCATGGACAGAAATAAAGACTTTATTATTAGTCTTCCACTAATTAGCAGATTACTCCAGAGACGTCGATGTTAATGAGACAGAGATACAACACAGGACAGGAAGGAAAACCAGGAGGACGTAGTGTAGGACGTCTCCATGACTGGGACAAGGAGACACTGAAGGAAGACAGAGCTGAGAATCAGAGGAGGAGGAAGAACAACGAGAAAAGACCGAGAAAAAAAAAACCAAACACAGGAGAGAAATGAGACAGAAATGTCTCCGTGTGACATGTTTGATTTAACAGGACTTGGCTTAAGAGCAGCTGTCGCTCAGGCTTCGCTTTAGTACAGCACACACACACACACACACACACACACACACACACACAAACACACACACAGAGTGACAGGATATTTTTAGATCAAACCCAGAGAGAAGCTACACATGCTGAACGTCAAAACACACACACACACGTCCTGAATGTTGATTATTTAAACCACAGCTCAGTCACAGTGTTTACAGAGGAGGGAATACACACACACCATCACACAAACAAACAAACACACACACACACACACACACACCCCCGCAGAGGAAGTCAGGTTTTATCTGGAGCTGTGACTTGTTGTCACTGACGACACGTTGAACCTGCTGTAAATAAAAATCAAGATATTTTTCAACACTTTTTTTTCGTCTACTACTTCAACTTTTTATACAAGTTCTGACATATTTACAATATATTTTAATTTTCTTTTACTATGACCACGCTGTTTTTATCTGTTTTGTTCGGCAGGTTAATCGCAGCGGCTAACGTTGTAGCGGCTAACGTTGTAGCGGCTAACGTTCTAGCGGTTAACGTTGTAGCAGCTAGCGTTAGCGACAACCACAGGATATTTACAGCCTGAAACAGAACTCATTCACATCGACTTCGACTGCAGAGGAAATGAAAGAACAGGAGAACGTGATGAGTGACCGGTGTGGTGTGGATTGATGACGCGGCTCAGCGTCGGTAATTACCGGTGTGGTGTGGATTGATGACGCGGCTCAGCGTCGGCCTCTCGTTCATACGACATCTTCAAACACCCCGGGATAAAAACAGCAGCTATGAATTGTGGGAGATTGAAAGGTCAGCACAGTTTCAGTCGTCCGTATCGTCTCTGAGTCGTCGGCGCAGATAAAAGACGGTCGGTGTCTTCACCGAGAAACTCTACTGTTGGCTGAGAATAACGTCCTCAGATTAGAACGGAGCGGACGTTCAATCAACACGCAGCTGCAGTTGTCTTTAAAATCACAGAAATTAACATTTTTAATTGTCAACATTTACAAAAACGACAAAAGAAAAAAAAATTTGATTTGAAGAAAATAGAGTTTGCTTCTTTAATTGTGGCCAATAAAACAGAGCATCTGTAGAAGGTGGTGAAGAATAAATAATGAAACCTGTCCAGAATGAAATGGTCATTAATTACGTGTGTGATGACTGTACTTTACTGCTCATTTTATTTCCTCCTCTCTCCTGTCGAGCAGTTAATTAGCTCGGCTGCATCTGCATTAAACTCATTATTTGTGATCATGTTCTTGTGAGACGGAGGCTGTAAATCCATTTTAGTGCCCTGCTGGTTACACTGAGGAACTGCAGTCTCCACAATCTTAGTGCCCTGCTGGTTACACCGAGGAACTGCAGTCTCCACAATCTTAGTGACCTGCTGGTTACACTGAGGAACTGCAGTCTCCACAATCTTAGTGCCCTGCTGCTTACACCGAGGAACTGCAGTCTCCACAATCTTAGTGCCCTGCTGGTTACACTGAGGAACTGCAGTCTCCACAATCTTAGTGACCTGCTGGTTACACTGAGGAACTGCAGTCTCCACAATCTTAGTGACCTGCTGGTTACACTGAGGAACTGCAGTCTCCACAGAGACGTTCACACTCACGTTCAGGCTTTGACTCTGGTTCTGAAGAGAAAAAATATAAAGTTTGTTGAGAAATAAAATCCAAGACAGGAAGAACTACTACTACTAGTACTACAATTACTACTACTACTACAACTACTACCACCACCACCACCACGGTGTCCAACAGGTCAGTGGACGTATGAAGGAGACAACAGACACCAACGTCTCCTGGCCGTCCACGGTCAGCTGCGCCGTCTTTAAACGCCTCAGTGCGGCTGGACGTTCAACGGTGACAACAGCAACGACCTTGTTGACCTTGTGATGCGTGGACCGCTGCTAAGAGTCAGGACCTCCATCTGTTAGACTTCAGCCTGGAGCTGTTGTCATCATCATCATCATCATCATCATCATCACTCTGAGGGACTCTCCTTCACACAAGGGCGTGTCTCCTGTGTGAGTGTGTGTGTGTGTGTGTGTGAGTGTGTGTGTGTGTGTGTGTGTGTGTGTGGGCAAAGATTGATTTCTATTTCATCCTGAGCTCGGTGTGTGTCAGCGCTGTTTACCACAACTATGAATCAGGACGGTGAGAACGTGGTCCATACCCACACACACACACACACACAGCTCATTATTTCCCTCTTTCTTTTCCCACGTCCCAGCAGGGTCAGCAGCTGCTTTATGAGAAGAGAACTAAATATTCTCAAGTCTCAACTAAAAGGTATTCTCAAAATAATAACTGTAAAAAATAGGTTTTTGAAAAAAGATTATTTTAATGAAGATTTCCTGGAGTTCACCCAGAAACACAGATCAGTTGAAGTTCCAGTTTCAGAGGAGGAGGAGGAGGAAACTTAGTTGAAGAAAATCCCAAAAACTTTTTTTAGCCAAATAACCAACTCTGGTGTCAAACAAATATCACAGCAACTAAAATTCATTTAAAAAACAAATGGAACTCAGCAAACGTAACGAGGCTAATGGTTAGCCAAAACAACAACAACAACAACAACAACAACAACAACACTCTAATTTACAGTTGATGCTAATTCTAACTTAAACATGAGTTCACTTCATCAGAGCCTTGAAAATGATTTCCTGTCTTAAAGGCGACGCCCTGATTGGTCAGTGTTCAATCAGTAACACAGCCGTCCACACACACACACACACACACACACATTTTGCTCATTATTCTCCTTTTACTACAGCCAAGTTTCAGCAGGGTCAGCAGCAGCAGCAGCGAGACGTCTCTTTTTATAAAGTTCGTCCAATTACACGAAGCCAGGATCGCAGTTTTGTGTCTGTACGACTGCAGACCTCTGCTGGAAACAGACGACGTTGTCTTTGCACACGGGTGGTCGGATGTTCACGGCTATAAATATAAACTGTTGGAAACTTAAAAAAAATCTAAGTCACTCTCCTTTAAAGACTGATTTAACACAGGATTAAAGAGCTGCGTATCATCTGCATAGAGGAGGAGTATAAATGTAATGATTATAAAGCAGTTTGACAGTGAAAATTTAAAAATATGTTTGGTTGGAAACAAAAACACAATCAAATTACAAATCGTTACAAAGTTCTGTGATCCAGGTTTGAACTGACAACAGGAACCAGCAGCAGCAGCAGCAGCAGCAGTAACAGCAGCAGCAGCAGCAGCAGCA